TCTTCTTCTTCTTCTTCTTCTTCTTCTTTTCCCCTCCATTACCCTCTTTGGATTTTGGGCCCCCACGCACATGCACCCAGCATGAGTCTCAAGCCACTGAGTGCAAGATTCAAACCATGATCAACTACAAGGGAGTCCAGTGACGTAACCATTATGCTATCTGCTGGTCCCCCAAATGGTTCTTATGTATACAGATACCTAAAAATAATTACAGTTATAGCATATCTTATTGGATTCTTACACAGGTTAAGCATTCTGCCAAATACTTTGTATACCCTCTTTCAAGTCTTACCACAATCTTATTAGGAAAGTATTATTGTTTCCATTTTACAGTTGAGGAAACTAAGGCTTATCCTAGGACTAAGTAACTTTCTGTGGTCACAAGAATTCAGCTCAGAATCAAGATGCAAACACTGTTTGATTTGAAAGCCCTTGGATTTAACAACTACATTCTACCATACAGAATAAATCTCCCATCTCCTCCTACCTGTAACCTAGAGAAGACAAAATGCTCAGGATTGGATTACACTTTTTTCTTCCCCACCTGCACCCAGGGCTGGTTACATAATTTGTGGGGTCCAGTGAAAAATGAAATACAGAGTCTCTTGTTCAAAAAGTAAGGGAAAAGGGACCAGCAGTTAGCGTAATGGCTATGTCATTGGACACCCACGTAGCTGACCGCGGTTCGAGTCCCAGATCTGGTGGCTTAAACACAGGCCAGGCGCATGTGCGTGCATGCCCAAGATCCCGAGAGGAGAATGGAGGAGAAGGGATTGCAGTGTGGCCATCTCCCCTGGGAGGTGATTTCTCGCTTTCTGTCTTTCTGTCTCTCTCTGTCTTTCTGGTGAGTGCGCGCACCCTATAGAAAAACATCTCCAAAAAAAAAAAAAAAAAAAAAAAAAAAAAGAGGGAAAAAAAAAAAAAAAAAAAAAAAGAAAAAAAAAAGGAGGGGAAAATAATGCTGCTAAAATATACACCTGTACGTCCCACAGCCTCTCTCAACTTGCCACAGTTTTTTATTTTCTATTTAACATCATACTGAATAAAGACAATTAAAAATTTAAAGTATTGGCAGGACACTTACTGTTCATTGGCATATTATGCAATTTCAGTTGTAAATATAAGAGCATTTAACTCATGCAGAATCACCAGCATTACATAATTCATATCTTGTAGCTGGTACATGAATAAGTATTTCATTCTTACCAGAAGATGGAAAGCTTGCATAACTAACTCAACAGTTTTTATTTCACTTCCTGATTTGCCTGCATTCTACCAATGATCTGTACTCATGAGTAAGGAAAGAAATGGAAAAGAATTACAGGTTGCCCTATCTTTTCCTTTCTTTCTATGTCATTAATAAAGCAGAAGTGGTTGGCTAATATAAGAAAGTGACATTCAGTAAGAAAAGGATGTCGAGGCTAGCAGGTGGTGTGGTGCTTAAGGTGCTGGACTCTCCCTTGGCCAACCATGGTTTAAGTCCTGGATCTGGTGGCTCGAAAATCATGCTGGGCACATGTGTGTAAATGCCCAAAATCCCAAGAGGAGAATGAAGGAGAAGAGATTGTGGCATGGCCACCCCCCCCCACCTCTGCTGCAGAATAATTTCTCACTTTCCCTCTTACTGTCTCTCCCTGTCTCTCTCTGGTGAGCACGTGTGCCCTATGGGGAGAAAAATCTTAAAAAAAAAAAAAAAGAAAATGTGATAGGGTTTCTTGGTCATTTTCATATTTTGGAATTGCCTTCTTTCTACATTTGAAGCAAGGTCTGGTTCAAAGAGAAAGCATGATCTCCCAGAGTTGTCAGTACCTCTGTTTACTAAGTCACAGAGATGACCCTGTTACTTTGTACTCTGAGTTTTACTAAAGTCCCACCGTATGTGAATTCACTAGAAATCTTTGCTCATGCGGTATGGAAAATGTTGTATGCAAATAGGGCAGATTCACACATTGCACTTATCCCTTTTGCTCACATGCATACTTCATCTTCCCATTGGACTTCACTTATAAAATCCAAGCTCAAGGATAAAGACATTAAGAATTTCAATATCTCAACAGCAAGTGAGATGCATAGGTGTGCTCAAGGCCCTGTGCAATGGCTCAGGTTTGTACAACCATGAGACTGGTTCTATCTATATACATCTCTCAGGCTACTGTTGGTAACTGTCTGCCTTACTGCTGGCTTTGACATTTATTGTTAATATTATTCTAGTTAGAGAAAGAGAGATGGGAGACACCTTGCTCTTGGGAGTTCCCAAGGGTCTTAGCCCTCTCAGAACACTTCAACTCTGAAATACTAGACTTGGGGTGATTTTTTTACTTATCAGGATGGCCTATCTCTCTGCTAGTTCTTTATATGCAGGAAAATAATGCAATATTTGATGAGATGATCTCATCAACAACCACCACTAGGCTTTGTTACCATCACAGCTGGACAAATATACAATATTAAAGTTTCTGAAATTGAAGCATCAGAGGAACATCATTAAGTTAGGCCTGGCAGCTCATACCAGGGAGAACCATCAGTGATTGGGTTTTCTCTAGGCAGGATCTTGAAAACCCTCAAATAGTTTCTGGTTATCTTGCACTGTCTTTTGTTTCCTTTGAAAAGCTCTGCTAGAGCCTAGTGCTTGCTTGCGATATTTGGGATGTACAGAAGATTCCTCTTCACATATTTCTCCCATTTTTTATTTCCTCTGCTTAATACCATGAACGGTTTGTCTTTTTCTCTTTCAGCATAAAATACTATTCAGTGCAGTCTTTCCCAAGATTTTTGAATCCTAGCAACCTGCCATGATTGAACTTTACCCAGAGAAAAACTTGTGAAGACTTTCTTCTTTACCTTAATTTTTGCCCTTGATAATTGCCCTATTTTCTTAAGAGAGAGATTTTTTGCTATAGGATATGTTTGCTGGCCAGAGAGACAGAGAGAGAGAAAGCAAGAGATCAGCCCCCCCACCGGGGGAGGGGGGGTGGTCACACAGAAATCCCTTCTTCTCCATTCTCCTCTCAGGATTTTGGGCACACATGCACACATGCCCAATGTGAGGTTTAAGCCGCTGGATCCAGGACTCAAACCATGGTAGACTACATGGGAGTCCAGTGACATAACCGTTATGCCATCTGCTGGTCCCTGCCCTATTGTTGAAACAATGGACACATGTTATCCCAGCAGGTCTTTTCTGTCTCTTGACAATCCTATACCTTCTGAATCTCTGCAAATACACGACCAGATTTATAGGTCCATTCTGCATCATGGAAACTACCTTTTTTCTATTTCTTGACTTCAGATGGCAAGATGTTATGGCCATGCACAGCACTCTAAAGGAATCCTTTCTCACCACATTTCTTTTTTCTTTTTTTGGAGAGGTTTTTGCTACAGGGCACATGTGCTTGCCAGAAAGACAGACAGACAGAGAGAGAGAGACAGAAAGTGCAAAATCACGCCCCAGGGGGGATGGTCATGCTACAATTCCTTCTCCTCCATTCTCCTCTCGGGATCTTGGGCACACACGCACACATGCCTGGCGTGAGCTTAAGCCACCAGGCCCAGGACTCGAACCGCAGTGAACTACATGGGAGTCCAGCGACATAGCCATCTACTGGTCCCATCTCACCAAATTTCTCTAATCAACCTCCTTGCTTCCTCTATACACTGGATAGTAAATTAAGACTGGGGCAGGACCAGCAGATGGCGTAATGGTTACCTCACCGGGCTCCCAGTATTCAACTGTGGTTAGAATTCCAGACTCAGTGCCTTAAACTCACACCAGGTGCATGTGCACGTGTTCCTAAAATCCCAAGAGGAGAATGAAGAAGGGATTGCAATGGGACCATTCCCCCTAGGAGGTGATTTCTCACTTTTTGTCTTTCTCTGGTGAGCACACATGCCCTATAGCAAAACTCTCTCTTAAAAAAAGAGTGGCGAGCCAAATTGTGTGATCACCTCTTAGCAGGTTCTTCATAGGTGACACACATCTTGTATTTAGAGTTATGGGCACTTTATATACTTTGTTCTTAGCTTTAGGTTCTTTTTTTTCTTTCTTTTTGGAGAGGTTTTTTGTGCTATAGGGCACATGTGCTTGCCAGAAAGACAGAGACAGAGAGACAGAAAATGAGAAATCACCCCCCAGGGAGGATGGCCACACCCCATTCCCTTCTCCTCCATTCTCCTCTTGGGCACGCACACACACGCGCCCAGCGTGAGTTTTAAGCCACCGGGTCCAGGACTCGAACCGCGGTTGACTATGTGAAAGTTCAGTGACATAGCCATTACGCTAACTGCTGGTCCCTTAGCTTTAGGTTCTTCACAGAAATTCCAAGACAACTGTTTGGAATCTTGCATCATGTGGTATGAATTAAATTGGGTAGAAAATACTTCACATTTTATTTCTCCTAAGATAATGTCTTGTTATTTAAAATATGGCCTTCTGAAAATAAAGGCTAATTCGCAGAAACCATTATACTATTAAGAGGTATTTTTAAAAAGTTTATATACATTTCTCTCCACCCCATTCACTTATCTACTTACTGATACCTTTACTAGTCTGTAAACTTTTGAAAATATGTTATTACCTAGAGCCTCTTAGAAAGAAATATTTTCATGTATACCATTGCAAAAGCATGTGATTATAATTCCAATAATGTATATGTGAAGGATTGTCAATAAGAACTAAAAATAGTTTCCTGTGGATGAAAATTCACAGCATTTTACAAGGAAATGTGAAGAGAGGAAATACTAATTCACTTTTTATAGTAATCCAGAAGAGCATTAATAAAAAATTAATTTGGTGTGAATTTTGACTGACATTTGAGAATGCGTGTATTTGTGAGGATGTTCAAATACAGGCTCACTATTGTATGTGTCTGCTGTTTATGTGTCTGATAATGCAAGTGGACATTTCTAGCATTTTAAATATTTCATTCGATTTATCATTTAATGTACTGGAACAGTCTGCAAAGACACTAATTGTATAACACCCAATTTATTTTATTGTCTAGCATTCGGAAGCTGCTGAAGAGAAGTCATTTGGCAGTTCATTGATGGAGACCGAAGTAAACCTGGACAGCTACCAAACAGCTTTAGAAGAAGTACTGTCATGGCTTCTTTCTGCTGAGGACACATTGCAAGCCCAAGGAGAGATTTCTAATGATGTAGAAGAAGTGAAAGAACAATTTCATACTCATGAGGTAAAATAAAATATTGATTTCCAATACTGACTCATCATAATGGAAATCTCTCTTTTCCTCCCATTTTTCTGTAAGATTTGAGAAATTTAGTTGTTTTGTGTTTTGGGGGTATCTTCTTTTTTATTTTAATTTGTCAGAGGGCATTTGTACTCCCTGGAGAGAGCCAGAGAGAGAAAGATAAAGATGAAAAGTGAGCAAGCAACCCACCAAACACCCATAAGGAATGGTCATATCATAATCACCCCTTCATTTTCCCTTCCTTTTTGGGCACACATGTGCACATGTCTGGCACGTTTTCAGGCCTCCAGGTTGAGATTCTAACCATGTGGTTGACTATGTGGGATCCAGCCACTTTAACCACTACACTACTAAAGTTTAGTTTTTATTTTGAGATGTAAACAAATGTTCATGTGCTTGGGATTCCAACAGGCAGTATTTGAAGTTTGTCTTTCGAGACCACCCTTGAAGGTGCTGAGATCTGGTTAGTCAGTGACTCATATGAGAACACAAAAGCCCAGCTCCTTTCTCTTGAGTCAAGGCAATGCTGAAGTATAACCTCCTTTCCAGAGCTCCTGGGTGGCATCAGGCTGAACTACCTCAGTGAAAGACTTTTCCTGAGATTTACACTTGCTTGGCTTATTCCCTTCCCCTGCTGTCCTTGCTGCTCCTTCAGCTCCCCTGCAGATCTTCCTGGGAATTTTCCTTAATACATCACTTGTACTAAAATCTTTATTTTAAGTTCTGCTTCTGCAAAGGTGACCCAAAATAATACCTTTCTTTAATTCATATTAATAATGGTATTAGTGTCCAGCCATGGTGGCACAGGTGGCCAGACTACAGTGCTGAAAACCACGTGGTGACTGCACTGTAGTTTGAAGCCTTTGGCCTTGTCTGCCCAAAAACTTGCCAAGCACAGGTGCAAGTGTCCAGTATCCAAAGTGCCAAAGTGCTAGAGAACTGGAAGAGAGGAAGGGGGTTATGGCATAATCAGACCTGTGGAAGGTTCTTCTCTCTCTCTCTCTTTCTCTCTCCTCTCCTGTACACTATCATGAATAAAGAAAGTAAAAGAAAAATGTTATTGATTTATGGGCTAGTCCCATAGTCTAGTAGTTACGAGAGCTGGATACAACATAGCCAACAAAGGATCAAACCCCAGCCCAGTTGCTTTGAAGACATACTAGGTATGTGTAACTGCTTGGCCCAAAATCATGATGGCAAGGAGTAGAGGAATGGGAAATTGTAGTGTGACTACACCCCATAGGGAATGCTTTCTCTCTTTCTCTCTCTGACGAGCACACTTACCTTCTGGATAGGTGTGTGTGTGTGTGTGTGTGTGTGTGTGTGTGTGTGTGTGTATGTATGTGTGCACGCACGGGTGTGTGTATCAAATGATTTACCTACAGCAGTAATTCTATTTGTTCATTCTTTTTTGTCAGGGATACATGATGGATTTGACATCCCATCAGGGACGCGTTGGTAATGTTCTACAATTGGGAAGTCAACTGATCGGAACAGGGAAATTATCAGAAGATGAAGAAACTGAAGTACAAGAACAAATGAATCTCCTAAATTCAAGATGGGAATGCCTCAGGGTAGCTAGTATGGAAAAACAAAGCAAGTAAGTATTTGTTTTTAATTGAGAAAAATAATAACTTTTGGAACCTTACTATCATTTTGATGCAGTTTGATAGTTAAGCCCAGATTCTCGGCTTATTCCTAAAGGCACACAACTTTTCTTCAGGAGTCACTATGTTTGGATTTTCATGTTAATAACATTTTGATTTTCGCCTTTGTAACTGAAGTGGAGAGGTTGGATGGATGGATGGTTACCTACAGAACTATGCTCTAAGAGTTGCCAAAAATTTTGTCATAGGTAATATTTTCTCCAAAATTAAACTGTGAATGCAGAAGGCACAGAAGAATCCATAGGAAATCATGTACATAAAATCACCTATTAGCTACAGTTGACAGGAAAGTTTTCTTCTGAAGGAAAAGCCCTTGAAAATGTGAAAGAGTTACTCATCTATTTATGGAAATCCTCTTGAAAAAAAATCTCAACTGTGTTTGGAAATCTTTATTGAAGTACAGAATGACTGTGAATTATTTTAAGAATATATATTAACTTAATCAAAAATGACTTTTTGAGACATTTCTGAAAATAGTATATTTCTTCTAAAGGTAACAAGCAGATTTCATCATTCTGAATGTGTTGCTTTGATTTATATTGTTAGGTGTGTGTATTCATGTAGAGCTATCGAGACAAGATAGATTTATTTTTAAATGAAAAGAAATGAAGTGCCAACTGTGGATTTGAATACATTAAGCTAAAGAAATTGTCCAAGCGCCTTAAGTTTAATTAGCTATTATTTATGAAGATTAAAAGCTTTAAAATAGGACCAAAATAACTCATTAGATATGCTGGGAGGATTGCTATTCCAACACTAAATTATAGTGTGACAATAGGGAGGGGGGAAGCAGATTTTTAAGCTCATGCCTTTTGAAAGAATAAATAAGGCATCTATAAGGTAGAATTTTCATAACTGTATCTTTGTCCAAGCCAAGAAATACTAGCCTATGTATATAGACATTTCCCCCTGCTGTGATCACTATGATGATAGCAACTAACCCCAGAGGTGAGAGTTATAATAGTCTTATTAGAACTATTGATTCTGCCTTCTTACCCACCCTACCCAGACCAGTGCATATAGGTCAATCAATTTACTCCACCCATTTATCAATCATAGGTGGCTGTAGAGCCACCTACTCACAACAATATTCCAGTATTCTTCAGGTTAATACTTCAGTTTGCAGGGCTGGCAGATAGCATGGTAGTTAAAGTCACTGGACTTTCACATGGCCAACCATGGTTTAAGTCCTGGACCTGGTAGCTTCCTTTCTCTCTCTCCATCTCTCTCTTGTCAAGTTGGAAAATAATAATAAATAGAGTTAAAATAAAAAAATAATTAATAAAAACTTCAATTTGCACTGATCAACTTAACTAAAGCAACCTCAAACAAAATTAGAAAGTTTTAAAAATGCAGCCTCCTTTTTCACTGTCCTTCCCATAGTAATATCGCTGTCATCTCCTTTGTGTACTGTATTTTCCCATCCTCTTCTGGAGGCTAAATGCCCCTAATTGTTTCTGTACCCCCTTTATTCAATAGGAGTTAACACTATGGTATTAATAACTTCTATTAACCAATTCATTAAATGCAGTGTGAGACCGAATTGCAAGGAAATGTGAAGTCAACCTGGAATGAAAATGCCAAGTCTTTCATCTTTTATTATAACATTTTTTTAAAGATTCATTCAAAAAAATCTCCTTGCTAAAGTGATATATACCATTAGAATGACAGAAAACAGAAAATACACACACACACACACACACACACACACACACACACACACACAGATGTGAAAGTGTAATATCCCCATCCTCCATCCCATTGGAGAATAGGAATCCTAAAATGGCAATATTACTGCTCAGCTAAGATTGACATAAAAATTAGTTTGTCCTTAGGGTAAATTCAAGGACTTTGATTTATGTTAAAGCTTTTAGAGTGAAGATCAAGAAATGTAGCCTTTTAGTCAGCATCACTTTTGCTAAAATATCTTATAGAGCTTTAAAATGAGACACTGATATGAAACCAGTTGTAGCACATAGTCTTTAATGGATGACTTCTTGAAATACACATTTGAGGGATCTTCTACAAGTTCATGGAAAATGCATATTATTAAAAAAGGATTCAACATTTTTGGATCCAAATAAACTCATGTTTTAAGTCTTTCTTATGAATATTTTAAAGTATCCTTACATACATTATTTAAACAAAGCAAAATCAGAAATATGGGAATTTGTAACTAACAGTGAGGCTTCCATACTACTTTTTACTGTGTGTGTTCATGTGTAAAACCTATTCAATGCTAAATGAGATAAGCTATTATGTAAACTTTTCTGAACCTGATTTTGACAGGTTTTTTTTTGGGGGGGGAAATCAAAAAAATTGATTATGACAAAATGATGCTATGAGTATTTAAAAAAATAATTACATGTTTTATTTAATGCATTAAATAAATTGTACCATTTTATTATCATGGTCATATTGATAATTAGCTGCAGTTGGGAATATCACCTATCGTTTCCAAATATATGATTATGTCAGAGTAGTAGATTGCTAGTAAGCACAAATGAATTAGTCTGTACTTATAATTTTTGCCATAGGATGCGTGCACTCACTAGAGAAGAGACAGAGAAAGGAAAAGTGAGAAATCATCCCCCCAGGGGGTATGACTACACTGCAATCCCTTCTCCCCAGTTTTTCTCCTGGGACTTTGGGCACATATACACGTGTGCCTGGCATTATTTTGAGCTACCAGGTGTGGGATGGAAACCCTGGTTGGCCATGTGGGAATCTAGCTGCCTTAACCACCATGCCACCAGCTGTCTCCTAGTTCATACTTCCTACTTCTCTCTCCCAGAGACAGAGTTTAGGTAGACATAGTCAGAAGCCATCCTCCCTCCTAAGCCTAGGTTTCATGTTGAGAGGAATAATAAGTAACATTTGTCTAGGCATTATTGAGTATAACCAATGCCATGCTAGAATTGTTTTAAGTTCATTCATTTATTTTTTTTCAAGAGTGAGAGAGACAGACAGAGGGAAGAAGAGATAGACAGCACCTCCACAGGACCTCAACACAGCAATCCATCCCCCAACTTCAACTAGTCCCTGAGTCATGGACACATGTGTACCTGGCATACTCAGCGAAGTCTTCACACTTGAACCTGGGACTTTCACACATGGGTCAGCCTCACAGATCATTGTGTTTTACTGTTGCACCACCATCTGGCCCCCACAGAATTTTTAAGTTGATACTTTATAAAAATAATTAGACAATTTCTTGGGAATACATATAAATGTATAGCTCAAATCTATGAACATTTACATTTAGCAAATCTGAGTAGTATCTATCAACCTATTTACTAGTAAATATCAAATTATATATCCTATATACTCATCAGTACATATCTACAGATACAATCTTTATTTACAACTTTTGAATTTTTATTTTATGATTCTTATTCACATTTAATGGTTCTACATCTCTATAGCACACAATATGGTTTTCCAAAGTATGCATGTAGTACATGACAATCAAATCAAGGATATCGCCATATACACCTTTTCCAGTGAAGAACTTCACATTCTTATGTCTGTTAAGTATTTGATCACAAATGTTAATAGAGTGCCTTGATTATCAGATACAGTTCAAAGCACTGGGGACACAGTAATGATTACAAGAGATAAGTTTCCAGATCTTAGGATGCTTATGTTTAGAGAGGCTGACAGTAAATGAAAATAGAACACAAGAAAAATATCAAATATAAATCTATTTTCTGAAGAGATTAAAAGGTAATGTGATGGGACCAGCAGTTAGCATAATGGCCATTGCTGAACTTCCATGTAGGCGACTTAGGTTCGAGTCTCCGCCCCAGTGGCTTCAACTCATGCTGGACACGTGTGTGTGCATGCCCAAGATCCCGAGAGGAGAATGGATTGCCATGTGGCCATCCCCACTAAGGGGTGATTTCTCGCTTTCTGTCTGTCTTTCTGGTGAACGCACGTGCCCTATAGCTAAAACCTCTCAAAAAAAAAAATAAATAAAAAAGGTAATGTGATACTGGCTATGGTGCTACTTTAAAGTCTAAACTTTATGATCCAGAAAGGAATTTAAAGGTTGATACTATTTATTTGAGATTTGAATGACAAGCAGAAATCAACACTGGTAGATCAGGAAGAAAAAATATTTAAGGCAGTGGGAACAGCCAATGCAAATGCCCTAAAATAGGGACAGTTTGGCTTGTTGGAACAACCAAAAGGCTGGTGGGACTACAGAGTTGCAGGAGGGAAGGTTAGATAGATGAGATGTGTGAAGGGATTGAAATATGCATAATAATACATGGTGATTGAATGTAAAAAATTTTTAAATTAAAAAAATATGAAAGATACGTAGGGGTCAGATCACTTATGGTAGTCTCAGGCATAGTAAAAGATAACAGCTTTGAGGGACCAGCAGTTAGCGTAATGGCTATGTCGCTGGACTCCCATGTGATCGACCGCGGTTCCCGTCCTGGACCCGGTGGCTTAAAACTCACACCGGGCGCGTGTACGTGCATGCCCAAGATCCCGAGAGGAGAATGGAGGAGAAGGGACTGCGGCGTGACCATCCCCCCTGGGGG